TGAACTTGTCTCCAGATCTTATCTACCCTGGGCATGGTCCAGTTATAGAGGAAGGTGTGACAAAAGTCAAGGAATATATTGAACACAGAAATGCAAGAGAAAAACAGGTACATGAAGTCCATTTAACCCTTGGAACCCTAGGAGTGACAAGCATTTAAATTCTCCCCACAATATCACCCCCAATTCACATATCAGGGTCACAAGAAGAAAGGAAATGATCACCAACTAATGAAGCTCTTGATTAGTAAACAAATTCTCTTTGTCTTCTCTTTAGAAAATGTACAGAGAACGGTCTAGAGAATATTCATACTGTTATTTGGGTGTAAAGGGTTGAACAATTTTGGTGGCGGTTGACCAGTCTGCAGAGTACCGCACAACTCAACAAGATCTTGAGCATGCAAAGGTTATTCTGCCACATGAAAATGTATGTTAAGAAAGGAAAAAATTGCAGGTTCATCTGCCATACTCTACAGACAGGGCAGGTAAAGTCTCTGAAAGGTTTAGATCCAATTTAAATGTAGGTTTGTTGGATCAAATATATTTATATTGGTGTAGAGTAATTAACCGACTTGGGTGGAGGCTCTCCCTGAAGAGCTTCAAGTTTTAATTAAGCCCTGTGACAGTCATTCCTTTCTAGAGAAAACTCAGAACTAGTATTTGGTGGTTGTTGTGCTGTTAATTTGGACCAGAAAGTTCATTAGTTGAGCATGTGATACACTGCTGTTTTAAAGGCTGTAGCAGTTTCTGTTTGAAATGTGATTGTATGATATGTGTTGTGTTTTGATTTTAGATCCTTCAAGCTATAGGAGAAAGCTTGGAAAATCCAGTGACTGCAATGGACATTGTAAAGAAAGTTTATGTTGTGAGTTTTTGTTAAATAAAGACAGAACCAATTTCTTTCATAATTACATAGTTTGCATGGAACCTGTGGCACAAAATGTACTATGCAAGATACATAATTGATGTTCAAAAGAAGAAATAGCGTGTTAATTCAGTGCACATGCACAGTAATACTGTTTATGTTTAACCTATGTAAGACAGTCGTCATGCAATTAGAAAAATTTGTTGACAGATGTTTTTGCAGGCAGACCAATCAATGTATGACTTGATTTTTTTAAGCTGTATGTATTAGTTCTCAAAATTATTTTTGTAAGGTGATATTAGAAATTGTATTCATTTTTCATTGTAGCACGAATGACGAGTTTTTAAATTTCCAAGATTTAAACTGTATTGGTGGTGAAAAATTATCAGTGAACTTGTGGAAGGTTTGAGTTACTGAGGATTCAGGTTACCAGGGTTAAAATTGCAGTAAATGTACAGGGGAAATCCAGGTGGAATCCATTTTGACTAGAGTTAGGGCAATTTTGGAATAAGCAAGGATACAAGTTTTCAAGATTTAACAGTACTTTTAATTAAGAAAATTCCATTTGATTGTCTCTATTAAATATTAATTTTACAAGTGTTTGATTGTCTAGTTATCAAATAGTTTTCTGGTTGTTATCAATTTGAAAGTGATTTCTGTACGAGTATCTTGTGAACTGAATTGCAAATTGTTTTCTTAAATAACAATGGTACATTTTAAAAGATGTTCAATGTAGTTCTTACGTTGTACAAATCCTATTTATTTATTAAAGTGATCACACATCTCTGACAGGAAACTCCATGGCACCTTCACAGAGCAGCTGAAAACAATGTCAACCATCATCTAACAAAACTGGAAAAAGAAGGACAAGTTTGTGAGTCTTATTTAATTACATTATTGAATCTTTTTAGATGTCTTGAATGATTGAGACAATCCACACAACTCTGTAGAAAGAAAACCCAGTAACCCATTTGCACCAAAGCTTTAACATGTTTTTGACCTGTTTTGTTAGACATGGTTGAAGTTTCTTTTTCTCCAAAGAAATGTAGCAAGTTGGAAATAAAAGCTAGTGATTACTTAATGAATTCTATGGAAAATTCAGTTTTTCAGTTCTCTGTTTCTGATTTTTAGTTGAACTTAGTTTAATTAATGATGTTTTGCTGGTGTGAGTGGTGCACACTGTTTAAGTCTAGTAACATGTCATTAGAAATAATGAACAGCCTTTTGTAATACTTACTAACAATTATCATTTGCAATTTCTTTTAGACTCAATTGAGTCAAGCGGTGGGAAAAGATGGAAGAGCTCTCTGTAAACCTGTTCCGTTGAAAAGAAAATCAAGTCTGCCTCTTGACATTTAGTGGCAAAAAATGGATTTCTGCACTGATTCAAGTCAATCCTAATTTTAGTCAGGTCAGATCTCCAGAGAGAAGCTCTATGGTCTGTTGATTGTTCAGGCCCTCTCTTCTCTTTTGACAGCAAAAGCAGATATAAAAGCCCCCACAATGCTACCCCACTCTGTTAACTCTATTGAAATGCAACCCGTTTACTGTCAATCCAGTCATGAAAATGTGACCCCATCTAGTGGTAAATCCCATTAGCCTAGCAAGGTTGTAGCCCCCCAGCCTAAGATGTACTTTCACTACAAGGTAACCACCAAAGTTCTGGGGAAGAATATGGAGGCTGTATTTTGCATCTGTGAAGTAATTTACCAGTCAGAGATCTCTCAAATTACATTGATGAGACAAAGAGTAAATTATAAATTAAAAGTGTTGATTTAAAGGATTGTTTTAAAATGATAAAATAATGGCGTCACAAATAATACACATGGCAAAATATTTCAAGACAAGTAATTGACAATTACTCTAAATTCATATTTTGGCAATAGTATTTTCAGTTCTCTGGGTGTGTTTTTTTCTTCATATTTAATTATATCATTCTTAATAATATTATATGCTTTGTAAAGTACTTTTGTTTGTAAATTACAAGGAACATTTTTGAAAAAAAAATCTCCATAATGATTAATGCTCAATGCAAACTAGGAGCAACAGGAGTACATGAACATGCAAGGATAATAGAAATTACCTGTTTTTTTGATTTGTATCAATTACTGAATTAAGCCTCAGATATCAGACAGTTTTTGCTCTGTTGAAGATGACTGTACTCGTATTAAAAGAGATTGTATGTAAATAAATCTGTAAGACAGTGTGAATATTGCTGACACAAGTGACTGGTACTCTCTTTAGAAATTTTAATACTCTGCTTTTTCAGTCCTGAGAACTCCAGGTCCCTACCATAATTACATTTTCAATTGCATAAATCAAACGTGCATGTTAACAGTGTTCAGTTTACAACAATCAACGCAAAGTCAAAGTGCAACGAATCTTGTCCTTAGGTGATAATGTTGTCTTGGGTTCTTCATAGTTCAAATCCTGTCCAGGAACCAGTTTGAACTTGAATGACTTCACAAACCGCGACATGAGTACTTTGAACTCAAATTCAGCAAATGTTTGACCGATGCAGTGCCTTGGGCCAAGTGAAAACGGAATGTAGGCATAGTGTGAGTGTCCTGCTTCATTTTCATCATTTAAGGTTGAAAAGCGTTCAGGATTGAACTTCTCAGGCTCATTCCAATACTTGGGACTGTTGTGTAAAGTAAACACCCCAATATTTATCAATGTTCCTGCTGGTATTCTATGGCCTCCTAATTCACCATCCTTATCCATAACTCTTGTGAAACCAGGGACGCTAGGGTGAAGCCGAAGTGTTTCTTTCATGGCAAGACCTGTGTAGCTAAGTTTGCCAAGGTCATCATATGAAACATACTGACGAGAACCAAGGATATCATCAACCTCTTGAACTAACCTGCAGCAAATTTGAGAGAAATTTTCTTTGATTATTTCACAGATTCATACATTTTATAGAATACTGTTGAAATTTAATGGCACAATGGATGCATAAGACATGTCGATTGAAAAGAGATTTACATAACACCTCACTCACTTGTTCTCGACTTCAGGATTTTTTGCAGCTTCAGCCAACATGAAGGACAAAGCTGCTGAAGTGGTTTCCTGGCCTGAAGCAAATGAATTAAAATATTAATAAAAAAAATTAAATTTCATGTTAGTTAACCTTTGTCTATATACAGCTGCTGAACCTACTTGTGTATCCAATATTTTCAGGTTTTTTTGGTCTCCTTAGACTGGACACAATTCGATGAGATGGATTACTATAGAGTCAAACAGACTGAGGTCTGAATGATTATGATCATTACTCTGCTTTTCCTTGACACATGAGCTTTGAAATTCAATTCACAACATTAATGATCTCGCCAAAAACAGTTCTTGTTTAATTGTAAATGTGGGCAAAAAACATCTGGGTGGTCTATCATTTGAAATTTGGAGGACAATTTTAATTGCAAATTGGATGATAACATTAAGAAGCACTTTCCTATATCCTACCTGCAATGAAAAATGTGATAAAATGATCCAACACTTCTTCATAGTCCAACTGAGTATCTTCAGGAGCTGACTTAAGGATATAAGTAAGAATATCTGATGGAACATCATCTCCATTTAATATTGCTTTTCTTCTCTCATCCATGATTTTCTTGCCAGTATCTCGTAAGAAATGAACTGCTGCCACCACAGTGTTTTGGTAGCCATAGGTGGTGAAGTCAATAGCATGAAGAGGATGGGATAAACACCAAACTGGGGCAACTAAACACTCCTTGATGGCCGCTGGGAACAAGGAATCAGGATCATTGACTGCATTTAGATCAATTCCAAATGCCACCTGAAAAGGAAAGAATGCATAATTTCTATATATGCTATACATACATGGGAAAGGTGTCTGGTGTTGGTGCAATTTGGAAAAGATACCAATGAAACCAGAAGAAAAGTAGTGGATAATTGGGTTGATAATAGACTGAAGAAATAATGCATCAACCCTGCAGACAGGCCCCCAGGGGTGAGAGGGGGAGGTACTTGGGTCAATTTTTTGCTGGATAATTGTGCTGCTGACCTCTCAGAACCCCTGCCCCATTAGAGTATATTCTGTGGCCAATTATAGACTCCATCTTGATCACTTTTGGTAATACAGTAACAATTTTTTAACTATGAAAACAGAAAACTATTTTTTAAATCCATTGTCACCAGAATTTTTTTCACCTCCCAAATCCCAAAAATCTCCTACCCCATTCTAGTAACACTATTGAAAATGCAACCCTATTCAATAGTCAATCCAGTCGTGAAATGCAAACTCATCCAACAGCAAATCCTCAATTGCCAGTTTTCATAGTCACACAGTCATCAAAGCCATTAAACAATTTAAGTCAAGAGTCATAACGATAAAAGAAGATCAAATAATCAGACAGTCTTGCACAGGTTCAGGTAGGTGTGATGTTTTCAGTTCAGATATTTGTATTTGTAAAAGCTAAGTAATTCAACCTTGCTTTATCACAAGACAAAAAACCCCATCAAAAGGAAAATTTGTCAAAAGATAAGCCTTCAGCTGCTCTTATAACTAACTACACTAAAATCTCAAAAAAAGTGATGATTCCTATTTTTTTAATTTTGTTGACATATTTTATGTGAAAACCAAAAATAACCTACAACTAGCAAGTACCCAGCCCCCCTTCCCCCTTCCTCCCTCCTTGGGGAAGGCAGGCCCTCAATGCTAGACATTGAAAAGGAGGTTGCATAAAGAGTGGAAGGGAACAGGGGGCGGGAGAGAGCGGGTAGGAGGAGAACAGAGGGCAGGAAGTGGAAGACGGGAGCAACACAATGAAGGGTGGGAGTGGGAAGGCAATGGGGCACAAAAGAAAGAGAGAGAGAGAGAGAGAAAAAAAAAACCAAGTACGTCCCGCTAATTGTTATTGGGTAAAATATCGAGTACATTTGTTTTTCCAGAATTTCAATTAAAACCTGAAAATTAAATTACATCTTAACCGAGATTAAACTCCTTACCTTCCCGATTATATCCAAAGTTATTCTGTTAAACTCATCTGCCATTTTCACCTCAGTTTTGCCATCAGCTAATTCAGTCAATCTTGCCAAAAAAACATCGCAACTCGCGTTAAACTGTTCCATAAGTTCCTTTAAATACTTCTTGTGAAATGCAGGATTGATTGCCAGCCGTTTAGATTTCCACTTTTCGTGATCAGTCTCCGAAACGAGACCTTTTCCCATAAATCTCTCTTTGAACAAGTAGCCGAGCTGATCGTAAGACCAAGCATCTTTGGGGAGATTGGATGTTATCAGCACTTTTTTGACTAGTTCTGCA